TAGAAATGGGATTATCCCTGTGCATTTGCATTCAGAAGTGGTTTGCCAGATGCATAGATATTGAGAACTAACTTAAAAGCTTTAGGTTAGTTGTCTTAAGTAATCCTTTCTTATGACATCAGATTTAACAATGGATTATAATACAGCTGTCAAATACTAAGAACAAAAAACAACAACCATGGAACATATTCTGATTATGATATGAAGGTTCACTGTAACTAATTTTTATAGTTGATCTTGAGAGAGAAATCACTTTGCCACTATATTATCTCCAAATTATTCTTATATGCCTGCAGATCATCTTCCAAAGATTTGCATAGACTTGAGCTAAATGAAACTTCATAAATAATTGTGTGGGTTAAGGGGAAGAAATCCATTCCCCTTAGGCCAACTGTGATTTATCTGTAGGGCATGGTGGAAAAGAAAGCAATCAAAACCCTCTTTATTTTTGTCTCTACAAAGTAGGCATAGCTCTGAATATATATCAGGCAGATGAATTGAGTTAAAGGTGCCAGTGTTAGAACTTTCTGCACCACAAATCCAGTCTAAACCACACAGGTTTTTAAAGCTTTCATTCTTCTCAAAAAGTATGGATTTGAAACAATGAAGTTATGTGCTTAGACTTTGAAGAACTAGACTTGAGGATATTACCATCTTCACAATAAAATAGAAAATTATACAGGCTCAATGGCATCCACTTAATTGTGAATTATTTGATCCCTTGGGAACATTTGCCTATTAACTTCTTGATAACAAGATGGGTGGCAAATAAATTTAATAAATAAATAAATAAATAAATAAACAAACTTAGTGGTTCCAAAATATGTTCCAAGATGGAAGAAAATATACTCCATCATAATATATTTAAAAGTCACTATTACTCATAGAATAGTTATTTTCTTAGTTCTATATTAATAAATCCACTTAATAATCTGATACATCATTAATATCCTTTAAATTATGTTCACAGGTTGAGCATTTACAAATAGCTTCAAAGAAAAATACTTCTAGCAGATTTTTAGTTTAGTTTAGACTTTTCTATTATATTAGTGAAATTATTATATTAAGGTTGTGCTATCAAGTCCTAGTTGACTCTTAGCAATCATCTAGATAAAATCTACCCAGGAACATTTTTTCCTATTCTAGTCTTTCAGATCTTTTAATGATATAACCATCATCACTGTAATTGAGTCTATCCACTTTGCTGCTTGTCCTCTTCCCTTTTCTTCCACCTTTAGCATTATAAACTTATTGAGAGGGCTAGGTCTTTCTATTATGTACCCAAAATATAATAATTTCAGGTTGGTCATTTGTGCTCAAGAGAGAATCATGAGTTGATTTCTTCAGTGGTCTATTGGTTTGTTTTCTTGGGTATCCATAGCATTCTTTAGAACAGGGGTGTCAGCTTTGTGGTGTCACAGTGGCGTCACAGTATTGGGACTCTCCCCACCTTCACTAAACTGGGTGGAGGCGGAGCCAGCAAGTGGCGCATCTGGCCCGCAGACTGCAAGTTTAACACCCCTGCTCTACAATCTTCTTCAACATTAAAGTACAGAAATGTCAATATTCTATCTATCCTGCTTCTTCACAGTCTAATTTTCACTTCCATGGTGTCACAGGGCAAACCATTTCCTGCACATTTATAATCTTTCTTGGGTAGACATACAATGGCATCTTTTTTTTTTTCTTGTGGGCATAGTGTGCAATGTGTTTTGTAATTATTTATTTTTTGCTGCTGAAATCCAATCCTAAAAGCCAAAACTGTCATTTGCTTCAGTATCTTCATTAACAATTCCAAGGCTAATTGCTATAGTTCTTGTCATTAGTTGAATTTCTTTATATTTAATCTTAGTCCCATTTTTATTGCATTCCTTGGTTTTCATTACTAGAACTTCCAGATGATTTGCATTTTTAGATAATCAGAGAAGCAGGATCTTTCAATCCAGCTTCACAAACAACAAGACCACAAAAACAGAGGATTGTTTGATCAACTGAAGAGGCATTTTTTAAAAAGAGTATTGTATTCTGCATGCAAGCATGAGGCAAGTTGATCTTCTCTCCCTCCATCTCCTCCCCTTAATTCTAGTCAATGCAAAGGCTAAAGGAGGCAAGGAGAGATGTCCAGTGGCTTATTAATGTGTATACTTTTAAACAATTTTAATTATTGGATGGTTTAATTTATGTCCATTTTATTATTTTAAGAGTTAAAAATGTTTCCCCTGAATTTTGAACTCCATTTTTGATTTCTGCTTACTTGGCCTTCATCAGTAACAATATTCTTATTTGTATATTCAAATTCTGAAGCATGCTGTCATATTTTTAAAAAAATACTTAAAAGCTCTGAAAGTCTTCGTGTATAGTATGTATCATTTATCTCTCTGTCTCTGGTAGTATAATCTCCACGCTGGAAATGTTTATGTGATTGAGCTATACTTATTACTAATACAATCCTATTTACACATCTAATTTTAGATTTGGCTTAGATTAACCAATTTCACTTATATTCATAGCCACAGTTTTGTTGACTTGGGTGTATACCATTAATCCTTTCATATCTTTCATAGACTCATTGCCCTTTTATAATCAGATATAGTTTGAACTGTCTTGTAAAAAATATATCAATACATTCCTTGCATTCTAGCAGTACTGTAAGCCATGTTCTAATATTACCTTAATATGTCTAGTGTATGTATTATTCATATTTTTATTCCACCATAACTAAAATGACTCAATGGCTCACGTAGAAAACATATCATGTAAAACAAATCCCCTACAAAAGCAAAAGCACAACAGTGCTAGAATACAAAGGAAATTAAAAATGGTAACATCACATCAGAAGGCTTTTATGTGAATTGGCAACCTTAAATATCTGTCCACATAGAATTGGACTTAGGCAAATTAGATTGGTAGGCAAATTAGACTTTGTGATGTCAATAATTGTATAGTAAGCAAGGAGTGTATTGCTTTATTTGCATCTTCAGCATGGTAGGAGGGAACAGGACTGCTCATGAACTCTTCATGGGGATTGAAATTGTCAACCGAAGAGCATTAAAAGTACACAAAGGTGCAGTTAACTGATGACTGAGAGCAAAAACAATTAAAGTTTACCAAAATTACAAGAATGCACAATACTCCATAATGAGCTTCTTTCAAAGAATGATGGATTGTGAAGCCTAAAATTATAGTTATTAAGCAACAAAGTTTAAAGGTACAAACAAATTCTTCTAAGAATTATGATGTTATGCTGTTGTTCCATCCTTCCTGGAGTTTGTAAGAAATTGGAAGAGGTTGTTGAATGTGTAAGTTTTCATTTAATGTCATTCTTAACTTTTTCAGAAATTAAGTTTGTGATACAACAGGGATTTGAAGGGTAATATTTACATAATCTGTCCAATTCAGTAATGGATATCTAGTGAGTTAAAATTATGATGTACTTTTTAATTGGAACAGCTTGCTGGCAGGAGATAAGATGACTTAAAAAGCTGCCCAGTTTTGAAAAAGAAACAATGTAGTTGTAAAAAAAAGTCCCATGGTATAGGCAATCGGTGCAAATCCTAGTCTTATTTTCAATTAACACTTTAAAATGTTTATTATTTTTGTGTCCCTAAAACAGGCATTACAATTACATTTTAAATTGGCACCAACTTTTATTTAGATAGATAAGAATATGTAGCTTTTGTACACAATATGCGAAGACCTAGCCAGCTCCCTAGAGAAGCTTCTAATGCTGGGAAAGGTGGCCAGAAAGAAAAAATGGATGACCAGAAATGGATGAGAATTTGTTGAACTCAGTTACAGAGGCTATGAGTGCTTCATTGGAAGACCAGTGGAAAGTTAGGGACAAATCATCATGGTGAAAATCTATCTAGGTCAGTAAGAGTCAACATATTGTGTGGCTTTTTATTTGTTGATTGGGGTGTTGATGGCTCCTAAGTACCTGATAAACTGGTAGTAAATCAGCACTCCTGCTGATGGACAAGAGGACCGTTTCCCAGGCTTCAATCATTTCCCTGGTTACTGTTGTATCTGCTCTGCCAACAATCTTAGTAGCTGTGAAATTGAATGTATGTTCTTGTTCATTGCAAAGTGAGGATACCAATGAGCTTGGGTCTCCTCGTTTGACCACTCACTTATGTTCTTGCAATCTGATGGTTAGCTTCCTCCCCATCTGACCTACATAGTCACAGAGGCAATCCAAGCAATCTTTATGTCACTATTTCAGTCTTTTTTTTACCTACCCTATAGTCTGTAGTTGTTGTGCTACATAATTATCCCACTTTTGCCATTCTCCCTGCCAATTTGTTTTAGGACTAAGAAAATGTAGAATGCCATGTTATCAGGATCCTTGATGAGTTACAGAGAGAGAATACCATTAATTCTGCATTTTCATAATCTAGTCCAGATCTAAAGTATACACACACAGCACTAGTGAAAAATAATATTTTAAAAATAATATTTTAACAAATGTTTGAATTATTTGTAATAGATGAGAGAGATTGTATAATAGCTAGGACTTGGATAAAAGATTTCATTTTCATTGGAATATTCATGTAAAGCAGCAGGATGCTGTACATATGAGAAGAGGGAGGGAGGTGTGGGAAAACAGGCAGAAATTATCAGCAAACAAGAAAAAGTGGCTCCTGCTACTTTTTCTAGTGGCACTTTGAGTATAAAGCTTCACTGAAAACAAAAAAATTATACTTCAAAAGAACTTTTCTCATAAAAAACAAAGATTGGATTTTACCTCCACTTTTACAAACAAGAAACAAATAGAGGTTCACAGATCAGTTGTTGGTCCACTCAAAGTGATACATGGTGGTACATCACTTGCAGGAAAAACGTGTTTTGACATTTGTTAAAAATGTTCTGATCCGCTCTGCTTGAGAAAATGGAGTGGATTGCAAATATAACATGTCAAGAGAAAACTTTCTCATTAATAAAAACAAGCAACTATTGGAAAGCTTATATCTAATTACTTCTATTTTTAATTTCTCTGGCAGGTATATTTATGTCCCAATGGGAGGATCTCATTGCAGCATATTTAAGATGTTGTTTTCGACTGCCATCACCTTTGCTTTTGTAAGCTTCTGGCATGGAAGCCATAGCTATCTTTGGTCCTGGGCTATGCTTAATTGGCTTGGAGTAACAGCTGAAAATGGAGTGAAGAGGATTGTTTCTTTTCCAATTGTCCACAATTTTATTGTAAGTTAATTCTTTTTCATGTTTCTAAGAATCATATTTAAGTTTAGGATTAAATCTGAAGTGTGTTTTCTGAAAGCATCCTGAGCAGATTGAGTGCTTTTTAGAACTGCTTGTCTCCTAACCAAAGAATTCAGGTACGGAACTAGCACTACATTGCCTCTAAAGGTAAGAAAAAGTGGGACTCTATAATGAAATGCAAGGGTGATCTTGAGGAAAAGGTAGAAAGGACACAGAAAATTGGGGAGGACCTCATAATCACTTAATGGTCAGAGAAAGAAACTAAGGAAGGACCTACCCTAATGGAGCACGCATTTACATAAAGTGATATGTGCTCTATGTGATTTTTGATTGGCATTTGCAAAGGAACTATGTGGTGTAGGACCAGTCTTGTCTTTAGCAGCTGCTGACCAATAGTTTCAACAGTCATTGGGCAGTCTAAGGCTTGAATAGGGAATTTGCTTCTGCACTGTTTCTATACCTACGAAATTAGAAATTGTCCAGAGTCTTTGAGGTGGTGCAGTGGCTCAGTGGTTAAAAAACTGGGCTTGTCAGTCGGAAAACTGGCAGCTCTGGTTTGAGACCCAAGCTCCACAATAGAGTGAGCTCCCATCCTAGCTCCAGCTCCTGCCAATCTAGCAGTTCAAAAGCATACAAATGCAAGTCAGTAAATGGGTGCCACTTCGGTGAGAAGATAACAACACTCTGTGATATCATGCTGGCCACATGACCATGGATATGTCTTCTGAAAGCGCTGGCTCAATGGCCTTGAAATGGAGATGAGCATCGCCCCCTATTGTCAGCAATGACTAGTGGAGTAAAATGCTTTACCTTTTTACCAGAGTCTACAAGAGCAGAAAATTCCACTTTCTGCCCAGAATCTGAAGTAGCAATAATAGAAATAATTAAGTATGCTTGCCTACTTAATGTTCTTGGTTGTCTGAGTTCTCCTCAAATGGTGGGTGGCCTCCTTTTGAAGCTCTTGGGAGGGGAGAATGGTGAAGTTTTTCTCAGGCATTGACTGAGATTGAGCTAGGCAGTTGTAAGCTTTGTAGTCTATTGATTTACAAGTTCTGCATCTTATTATTGTGACAATTACTGCAGTTTTTTATTGGGCACGATCTAGCTATGTGTCCAGGAGCCTCACAGTAATAACATAGTCCTTGCTCCCTTCTGTTTTGGTTGTACCACACTGCCCTGGCTGTTCTACCATGCTAGATTTGGAGGATTGGGTGAGATTGTATGGGGAAGACAGATTGTAGGTTACTTTTTTCTTCCTATATTTCCCTTCTCTCAATTCTTCCAGCTGGCCATCTATAATTACACAATATTGAAAAATGCTCTATTTTGAAAAATGCTCTACAATATTGAAAAATGCTCTATTTTGGGCTCCTTGCCTCACTAGCTCATCTCTCAGTTCATTGGCCAGCCTTTCTCTGAACTGGTCAATTAGTGCTAAGCCATTCCACTCTATATCACCATCAAGTAACTTAAAACTGAAATATATGCTCCTACTTTCCTCTATCCCTGATAGAACTTCCAAATGTCTTGTTCAGTAAGCGTTCATAGTTATGATGGTAATGAAAAAGTAGCTGCACAGCCAATCCTTGCATTTATGACCTTCATAGGACTGTAAAGCAAAGGAAAGCTAACGTAAGATAATAACTTTTGCTTAATAACTGAGTTACCAATCCCAACTGTGATCATTAAATGAAGGGCACCTGTAGTAGTTTAACAGAATAACAGGGATGAAAGGGAACTTGGAGGTCTTCTAGCCTAATCCCCTGCTTAAGCAGGAGATCCTATACCATTTTTGACAAATGGTTCTCCAGTCCTTTCTTAAAACCCTCCAGTGTTGGAGTATGTATAACTTCTGAATGGAAGTTGTTCCATTAATTGATTATTCTTACTGTCAGAAAGTTTCTCCTTGGTTCTAGGTTGCAACCAATCCTTGCTTGCATTGATGACATTCATAGGTCTGTAAAGCAAAGCTAAAGTAAGATCGTAACTTTTGCTTAACAACTAAGTTACCAGTCCCAACTGTGATCACTAAATGAAGAGTACCTGTCGTAGTTTGAATGAAAAGAGTATGGACGAAAAGTTATTTGGCAGTAGTGCTGACCCTGTCAAACTATTACAGGGAGTGGCTTGGGAGGAAGGTGTTGGAGGAAACAAGGCAGGATATGAGAGCCTCCTAGCCTCGTTAGAGGTAATTGGAGGGCCTGGAAAGTGGTTATACTTTATTTGTCTGGGCCTTTGGCTTCCTCATATTGCTCATATGCTACTAGGCAACCACTGTTAGGGATAACATTGTTTTACCCTAACTGTTTTGGGTAAAGATAATAAAATGATGAATCATGGTTTGTCAGATAAAGTGTATGTGACTTTAAGCTAAAGAAATGTAATTAAGGGTGCAGCTGTAAAAGTACTATATAAGCAGCAAGGCACTCTCTGGCTCTTACTGGCTGGCTTATTGAAGACTGCGTTCTTGCTGGATCGGGGAGGAGAAGAAGTGTTAGATTACTTTGAAGATATTTCTCAACGGAGAGAAGATAAGTTTTGGACAGATTTATTATATGTGTACTGACACTGGCTATTCCACACGGACTTTGCAATTAGAGTATCCTCGACAAGACTTGACTGAATTTGGTATATGACTAATGGACTGTTTATAATGACTATGCTATAATTCTTAAATGGAATAAATTATAATTTTGATAGCACAAGCGTATCTGTATTTTTACTGCGTGTTAACGAGAAGGCTTATCTCACACATTTACCTGTCTTCCTATCTGACTTCGCTGCACGTTCTGTTTAGTTTGTTTTCCTTAACACCTGTTGGGGAATCCAGGCTTAACAACCACAATCAATCTATTGAATGTGAAGGTGGCTGATTCTATCAGTCATGCTATATGATCACAACCATTGAGAAAGACCAGGAATAATAAATTATAGTGATAATTTATTTTGCTCTTGAAATGTTTCAAAAGATGTAAAATGAATCCCTGTTTAATCATTTTTAAACCTGTAGATGTTGCTTAATGGTGTAGGTGATCAATTAACATCTTTGTCTTGTGAAAGGAACAAGTAGCAAGCATTAATGGAAAATCTGATGGCTGGCAGGCTATCCTCCTATTTCTGTACAGTGAACTGTTTAATCCTGCTTAGAATAGCAGAAGAAACAGCTGCATGATACCACAAGCATACATGCTAAAATTTCCTGGATAGTGGCTGAAAAACTGGAGATGAGGTGAAATTAGACTGAAGTAGGAATTAGCAAAGGAATATATCACTGTAAAATATCAAGCAAGCTAGGAAGAGATCCCACAAATGATATCTAAAGGTGGAATTCAGTTGCTGTTTTTGCATTTCTTTTTTCAGCAGAATCAAGAAATAACCATTCTTTTTGCACCAATAGCCAGTCTATCTGTTGTTGAAACAAGCAATGAGAATTTAGAAGAGGGGTCTACCAGATTTTCAGCAAGCTTGGTGGACAGTTGCAGTGAGAGAGAAAATTGGCTCCTTTTATGCCCACTGACAGAAGAAATTCTATAATTGACGAGTTGCCTTCAGCAAGTTATATAAAAAGTGAGCAACAAGCAAAGCTGCATGAAGAAGAGTTATGTAAGGGGTGGCTGAAATTCATCTCAGCTGAAAATTCTCTACTGGTAAACTTCATGATTTTTATTTTAGAGGGAAAAAAAGCTAAGCCTTTGTCTTCCAATAGATCAGAGTTCCCCAACCTTTCCAGACAGTCGGGGGCTGGGGAGGGGAGAGGAGATGGCTTTGCATGGGTTCTGTTATTCCGTTAAATTACTGTAGGTACTCTTCATTTACTGATTACAGTTGGGACTGGTAACTCATTATTAATAGCAATAGCATTTAGACTTATATACTGCTTCACAGTGCTTTACAGCACTCTCCAAGCAGTCAGCATATTGCCCCCAACAATCTGGGTCCTCATTTTACCGACCTTGGAAGGATGAAAGCAACCTTGAGCCAGTGAGAATCGAAATGCCAAACTGCTGGCAGCCGGCAGTCAGCAGAAGTAGCTTGCATTACTGCATTCTAACCACTGTCCACCACAGCTTTTAAGTGAAAGTTATGATCTTACTTTAGCTTTCCTTTGCTCTACAGTCCTGTGAAGGTCATAAATGCAAGGCTTGGTTGTGCAGCTATTTTTTTATTACTATCATAACTATGAATGCTTACTGAACAAGACATTTGAGGACGCTGTAACGGTTGTGTGAAAAATAGTCATAAATCACTTTTTCAGTGTCATTGTAACTTTAAACAGTCGCTAAATGAACTGTTGTAATTTGAGGACTACCTGTAATTTGGATTTTAACAAACTACCCATTGAAATGAATAGAGAGTTTGTAGACTCTTAAGCTACAGAAACCTTTGCTTTTGCTCTATGACCAATTATCCCTAATTACTGGTCAATTACTACTACTTCTCCAGTAACATAGTCAAAACTAATATTTAAATATTCCAGATATTTTTATGCTTGTCATGTGTAGAGTCCTAGAAGTTAGGTTAAAGGGTATATTTATGAATTAATTAAAAACTTCCTGCCCTAACTGCATATCACAAGGCATTCAAACACATTTTTCTTTTTACCATTTATTAAAAAAAGACTGTATTTAGCATTCCTATATCAACATTGTTATAAATATCTGTTCAGGGTTTGGAAGAGAAATCAGTATGTATATTTGAAATATGACAGCTAGAGAAACTTAACTAAATTTAGCACAATGATTGAGAATATGTTACATTTACAGTTCTTATGCAAAATAAAAGCAGATAAGACTGGTGGGGTTGTACAACTGTGATTTTCATGGTTACAATATTTTGCCAGTACATGGAAAGTCCAGTGTCATTGTACTGATTGCTATCCTTCAGTCACTAAAATGTGGCAAGGTACTCCACAGCCTTCCTTTGTAAACTGGACTGCTTCTCCTTTCCTGGTTAGGATTCAGCAATAGTTGATAATAAATGCCTGGGTTTGTCTTTTCTTTCCCTTGTTAGTGGTTGCTAGGTACCACAAAATATTCTTACGTGGGAATAACCAATATCCCCAAAGATTGGATCATAACAATACAGGGCATTGGAGACAGATAGAAAGATGAATTTCTATCTGATGAAAGATAATGTATTGCTTTCACTCATAAGGGTACCATAGTCTGGTTGTCATTCATTTTTTACCTTAGAACTTAATATTTAAAGAACACATGAAATCGTATTTTTCCCCAGAGGCTGCCTTTTTGTCCAAGGAGTTCCCGGAAAACTATGAAAGGAATTTCTGTTTGGCATATCATTAGGCATGGCTTTTTTGAGCCTTTCTCAGAACTTGGCAGATGATATTTATATGCAGTATCTTTTCTCTCAACCAGGCACATCCTTTGCTTAAATTCCAGGTTGCATTTAGTTTGTTTTGATGAAAAATCTACATAGCCAAATATTCACTACCATTTCTCATCCAAGCAGGGCTGAGTCATGTTGTACATTGACTTCCAAGAATTGCAGACATTCCACATTTGAAGCAAATAGTTATACTCATGTGTTTCTTTCCCATGAGTTTTTCAGCCTTCCATTTTCCTCACAATTCAAAATATCAATATGCTTATGATTAAAACAGCTACTTGTGCTCTTTGCAGTTTTTGAGCATTTAAGAGCAAGTTTGCTGACATATTTTTTTATGTTTGCTGACATAAGTTTTTTTTATCATAGAGGCAATTATTAAAATTAGCCAAAATTAAAATATCTCTTAATATTTAAAAATGAATAAATAAATAGTTATCACTGCTTATGGCACAGACTACAAACTGGGACCTCTCATAAAGCCTATTCTGTTAGAGTTTAGCTTCTATTAGCTCTCTCCCAACAAAGAATATAAAAATGCATATTACAACCTAATTAAACATATAGGTAATCCATCCAACAATATAAAAAACATGTCTATTAAGGAGGCCACATCCATGCTACTCCCAAATCCAGGGAGTATATCTAGATTTTTCAGGGCCTTGTGTGCCCTGGGGATGCGGGTCACAAGAATTTCTGCAAGGATCTCATACCAGAGGCCATGACAGGTTCTGTTAGATGGCATTGTTTAATATCAACTTGGCCATCTCTTACCAAGCAAGCAGATACCATGGAAAAGTTATAGGCAAAACAAGATAGTGAATATTTTACAATTTGACTCTTGTTATCAAAACTATGTAGTAGATTAAAAACAGGCTTATGTACCGTGTTTCTCACATAATAAGGCCGGGCCTTATTTTTTTTTTGAGCCCCGAAAAAACGGCTAGGCCGTCTTTTCGGGGGTAACTTAATTTCCCCCCTTTCATCCTCATCTAGAGCGCCCCGCGGGCAGCCTCGCCACCAGCCGCTCCTAACGGGCGATCATGGCGAAGCGCAGAGAGCTCCCTACTCCCACCAAACGCCTTTGCTGCAGACCCAAGACCTTTGGCACCTGCCGCTGTTGCTTTCCCTTCTGCCCATTCCGCTGCCATTTGGAGGGCCGTTGGAGCTGCTGCCGCCGTTTGGAGCTGGCTCTGCCGTTTGGAGCCGCCGCCGTTTGGAGCACCACCGCCACTCCAAACACAGCGGCAGCTCCAAACACAGAAGCGGCAGCTCCAAACGTGACGGTGGCACTCCAAATGGCGGTGGCAGCTCCAAACGGCGGCGGCGGCTCCGCTTCCGTGTTTGGAGCTGCCTCTGCCGTTTGGAGCTGCCACCGCCGCCGTTTGGAGTGCCGCCGTCACGTTTGGAGCTGCCGCTTCCGTGTTTGGAGCTGCCGCCGTGTTTGGAGTGGCGGTGGTGCTCCAAACAGCGGCAGTGCTCCAAACGCGGAAGCGGCAGCTTCAAACGGCGGCGGCGGCTCCAAACGGCAGAGGCAGCTCCAAACGGCAGAGGCAGCTCCAAACGGCGGCAGCAGCTCCAACGGCACTCCAAACGGCGGCAGCTCCAAACGGCAGAGGCAGCTCCAAATGGTGGCAGCAGCTCCAACGGCACTCCAAACGGCGGCGGCGGCTCCAAACGGCAGAGGCAGCTCCAAACGGCGGTGGCAGCTCCAACGGCACTCCAAATGGCAAGTCCCCCCACCCTTCCATGTTGCATGTTTTAAACTAGGCCTAAATTTGGGGGGAAGGGCTTAATTTGATTTTATGCCTAGAAAACATGCTGGGTCTTCCTATTGGTGGAGGCCGTATTGTTGGAGAAACACGGTATTCCTAACATTCAAAAAGAATGTATATTTAATAATATACATTATTGAGACATATTTGAAACCTATAGCAGATCAGATAGGAGCATTTGAAAATAATTGTATTCAGGGCTATCGTCTATCAAATAAGTTAATAATCAATGATAACTGTAATGCATTCAGTTTGGTGAATGAAAGATAAAACAAGTGTTGAAAAAGTGTCAGGAGAAACAGAAGAAATTTCAAATGGTGATTCCCTTACACAGTTGTTCAGCTTTAGTCTCACCAGGCTCAAGGTTGACTCAGCCTTCCATCCTTCCAAGGTTGTAAAATGAGGACCCAGATTGTTGGGGCAATATGCTGATTGCTTAGAGTGGGCTATAAAGCACTGTGAAGCAGTATATAAGTCTAACTGCCTATTGTTATAGGAACATGCAGAAAAAGCAAAATAAGATTTTTGCTGCAACAAAGAAAGCTACAATTTTGTAAGCTCCCTGCTAAAGGGGAAAAAACATATATCACTATCTCTCTCTCTCTCTCTCTCTCTCTGTCTGTCTCTGTCTCTCTCTCTCTCTCTCTGTCACACACACACAATGGTTGACTTAGATTAACTGCTATTCAGCCTAATCTAAAGAAAACTTTCAGAACTAGCAGCATTTAAATACTTTTCACAAAGCCAATGTACTTTGAGGATTACAAATTTTCAGCTGAAAATTATTTCTGGAATGTTTTAACACCATGCCGACATCCAGGGAATATTTAATCTGGCCACAACAAATACATTTCAGTTAATCCAGCATTAAAATTTTGCTAGCTTTTATTTTAAGCTGTTTTATAATTTTTATCTTTTAGAACCAGGTTTTATCCCCAAGAGGGATTCGTCGATTCCATGCAGCAATGGCAGCTGTATCTACCGCATTCTTGATTTATTCCAACCTCATCTTTCTTGGTGGGAGTGATGTTGGCAGAATTTATTGGAACAAGATCTTCAAAGAAGGCAAGTTAAGTGAATTTGAATTTTTCTTTTAAAATTATTAAAGATTCCTGCTTGGACATACAATTGCCGGTATATGTGATGACCTAGGGCACAGCATAGAGCAACACAGTTAGCTGATAGTTCAAACTGCCCCTTTATTGCTCCAACTTTCCCCCAAACTCCGATGTTTCTGGCAAGTCTCAGAACAAAGTGATCACACACACACACACACACGCACACACACACACACACCTGCAGCAGCCTCTGGCTGCAAGTAGTCTAATACAACGCTGTGAGTACAATGTCTGCAAAGCAAGAAGTCCAGCAGGGCAAGGGAATAAGTCAATGAGTCCAGGAAGCAAAAGAACAAGGCAATTAATCCAGGAAGCAAGAAGTCCAGGAAACTTCAAATGTTGGCAACAGCACACAACACTCCATGAATTCAGTGTTTGTTCCCGACAAACGCCCCACCCCACAGCATTCCTTAAGTCTCAGTCCCGAGGTGCGCTCTGTGAAGAGGGGCAGGGTGCTTTCCTCCTGAGTTGTCAGGTCAGCCTGCGCTGCTCCTGCCTTCTCTCTACTCTCCGTGCTTGAGGATCATGAGGAGGTGATCCTTGCTCATCGCTTGAGCTCTGTTTCTCATGTTAACTGCTTAGCCTCTCTTGGTCATCCTGCCCCCGTTCCTCCATGCCTACAAGCCATCCCAATCCTGAAAGGCCTTGGCCTGACTCGGCCTGCTCCTCCCCACATTCCTCCAAAGCCAACAAAGCTTTCCCCCCCCCCACTCAGTTGGCTCCAGTTCCATCTCGTCTTCCTCCACAGATTCTGGCTCCAATGGGGGCATGACAGTATATCTTAATCTTGATACTATAACAACAACAATAATAACAACTCTCATTTGGCTTGTTGGCTTTCAAACGGATTTTTGTTTTTATTTTTGTTTTATTTGAGGTGCAGTTTCTACCAGATGTTTCTGATATATTCAGATGCTGACGGTAAAAACAGTAATAAATACTGCTTTGTGCAATTTGAATCTAATTTAGTGAATTTATCAAACTGCAAATTATTTGCTAGTATTAGCATGAAGAGTGAGGTAAAATATATGGAGCTATCATAACAGCTGAACACAGGTGGAATTGTAGTCCTGTTATCTCGAAGCTTTGAACTGAAGAAACTGCATGTACACTGAGTGCATCAGTTAAATGGGTACCAACTGCTTATGCCAAGCACATATCACATATAAGCCTACTTAAGGTTTTATTCACCATCAGCAATTCATTGGAATAAGAATTCTAAATTCTTGGAATAAGCATTCTAAACAACCCCACAACTTTTTAAAACTGGTAATAAAATTCCTTATAACTGAAATTGCAACAGAGTAAAATGCAGTAAATAAAAGAAGGAATTATGATATATAGGAATTTAAACAATCTGAATATTGTTTATTTGGCTGGGCAATGCTTTATTTTAAAAACAAAGTGCTGTGAAGCACATGGAAACACAAACACTGCATCTGTTTGCAAGGGGGCAGCTAAGAAATTATAAGAAAAGATGTGCCTACTAACACAGCTGCAGAAGTGTTGCTGTTGTACTCTCACATGCTCCTAAATGTGGTATAGCCCTACTCTGCATGGCTTTCTAAATATTCAATATTATAATTTCAAAAGACTATAAAAACTCTTACAATTCTTCAATTCGATTACATAAAACATAACTCTTATCCAATATACCTTTCACTGATGAGGTACTTAGTTTCTTGTTGAAGCTACACTGAAAGCTATTAGATTAATTAGTGCCTTTATAGAGATGTCTCTGAATCTGTTATTCCAAGAGACTGAATCTTCAGGAAGATCCTAAATATTTCCAGTCCGATATATATTTGTGGTACTTATGCCTTTATGAAATGTGTTTGAATCTTAGCACAATTACGACTTTTCATTTGAGCACTTTTATTTCCTTTTGGGCAATTCAGTTTAACATTCAACAATAGACATGTGTTTTTCATGTAATTACACACATGATTTTGAATGACAAGATTTTGTAGAACAATTGGTGTGAACCCAAGAATGCCCTGAATGGAATCACATATACAGATTTTCTGTCTACCTCTGTTAGAAGACAGAAACAATAGTTTTATCTCATTATCGTTATTTCTTTCAGGCCCAAATTGAGCTTGAACTTCTGAGAAAATTCACCAGTCCTGTCAAGCCTGGTTTTGCTTTTACAAAATTTATGTTAATTTTGACTGACAGAGCCATCCGTTTTAACCCAAATTTGAGTCCAGTTAGAATAAATGCAGTTCGTGAATTGGTCAAGAGCAATTATTATTCTTTGCAAGAACTTGAAAATAAGGTTAATTGCATGATCCAAGAATTTACCTGTTATTTACTTCCTGCTATGAATTCTTACATTTCTATATATGTGTGAAACCAATACTGGCTGAGTTATACTGTAGTTATGTGTTGCTTGATTCTGCATTTGAGACGTTTTAATGCAAACCAATCTGCTGCTTGCTTCTCATTTATGATTTTTATAATTTGTTTGTTATTTTTATAAATAACTCAGAGTGACAAACATTGCTAATAGTCCTTCATCTTTCTATTTTCCCCACACAACAACCCTGTAAGATGTGTTGGGCTGAGAGAGTGCCTGGCCCAAAATCACTCACCCAGCTTTCATGCCTAAAGCAGGACTAGAACTCACAGGTCTCCTGGTTTCTAGGCAAGCACCTTTACCAGTAGACCAAACTGGCTCTCAGAAATTTCATTGGTTTTAAATATTAAATCTATTAATTATGTAATAATTTAATAATTTTATTATCATTTAATGATTTAAATTTCATACTATTGCAACGTAGTTCTTGCTTGTTTAAACATGAGAATTAAGGCAATGTTTGGAATAAATATTTTGTAAACACTAATACATTAATATTAATAAAATACAGTTGGAATGTTCTTTTTTCCCCAAAGGAAAGGCTTTTACAGCCTTTTGAGAGGAACACTTCTATGTATATGCATTTCTTACAATTTTGACAGGTTTTTTTTAAAGTTATAGTTTAATAGAAAACAAGCAGAATAGGCTTTGGAATGACTGTGACATGGACACTCACTGGAAAGAAAATAGTGTATCCTTTGATCTTTGTCACATAGCTATGTGTAATTTGCTCTTTGATTTTATTCTTTGTATAAAAATAGAAAGCTAGTAAAATAAGAATAATATTTTAAAATTAATTTACAGGCTATTTTTAGAAATAAGACATGAAAGCATGATTTCTTCTGAGATTACCAGTGTCTTGGCTGTTCAGGCTTCTGTTGAATGAAATTATTTTGGACAGCCATTGCATTTACAACTGATCTGGAAGACTGCAATTTTAAATCAAGGAAAGCCATCTAGATTAATAAGCAGCTATCCTAATCTATATTTATAGAATCTCATTCTGCAGTGGGATTTGTTGCTCTGAAGTCTGCAAAAGTTGTGGAATAGCTGCCTTCAATTTTTACCTCAGATTTGGCTTCCTTGTTTGATGAAGCCTTGTAGCTAAAAATTACTGTGTATACTAGAAAGGAAACAAAACGGACTCTTTTGAATTAGAATGTTAATTAGCCATCTATTGTTTTCATTTCATAAATTGTGGTGAAGGAAGCTTTGAGACCATCCTATTTAATTCTAGGAGCTGGAGCAGGTTATATTGGAGCGCAGGCATTATCATTCCGCAACATGCAGTTAAGGTGTATAGAGATTTATGTTTGACAATTGCAGAAGGACCATTATCCATGATGTGCAGATTTGGCTTACATTATTTACCATTATTTAGAATTGTAATATCTAATGAGATAGACTGATGCAATAGCATTCATAAGATCTGTAAGAAACCTCCAGTGTTCTACTCAGTAGCAGAAACGCTTACTGAAAATACCATTCTTAATTCTGCTCTACTTCCAGTTTTTCTTTTATTTGAACCATTTTTTAAAAGATGAGAAATAAAGCACCAATAACCATGATGATCAAGTGAGACATTTCAAGGATTATCATTATGGAAATGATTTTGTCCTGGGTTGGCCAGTACATTAGGGAGAATATGACAGCAGCCTCCATGTTAGCACAAATAAAATGGAAAGTTATTGTCAGTTAACATGTATATGTATTTGTTTTCTTATGATTTGAAAGCACCATTAGGAATTATCATTTGAACTCTGCACCTGGACACTTTCACGTAATTGTATAAACGTGGAAGTGTTAGATACATTCCTACTAATTATTGTGCTGAGGAATAGCAGTAAAAGGCCACTAAGAGGTTTATGTAAAAGCTAGTATTTTCCTTTTAAGCTTGTTAAATTAAAAGGAGTAATAAATTAGACATTCAGCTAACATGAATGAAGAGTATAAAGTTCTGAAAAGATCTGATCATGGACAAATAGCTGAGCTAGTGAATGACTGCCATTGGATGAAATCAGAATTAAAACTGAGAGTAGGTAATTTGTAAATCAAACTGTAGAAATCAGATCTTCTGAACAGCAGAAAACTGTTCCGCAAGTACTTACAATTATCTGAGATGACTAACTAACCTTAGGTAGAATTTCCCAATAACTCTCACAGGGAATGAATGATTTTTAGTCTGGTTATTTGAGGATGAAGGGCTTGTACACAAATGTGATTTTCTTTAACATTATTTATTTAGACATTTTCTTTTCTAAAGAAATCAGGTGTCAATTTTAGGCACACCTAATAGGACAGATTCTTAAGTGTTGTGTGTTGATTCGGTTCATTACTTTATAGGGAACTTTTATCCAAGGCTTTTTCAACTAAGCGGATTGTAATTTGTTAATGTACTAAAATATTCAAACTGATTGAAATGGATTTATCAAGTAAAAGATAATCTCCATTAAGGGGAGGAAACACTTTACAGTGGTGGATCATCATATGATAATGCATAAATACAGAAGGCCTGAAAAAATGTCAGTTCCTGATATATATATGTCTGTCAGGTCCTGTTGAATTCAATAGACTTATCTACTATTCAG